CGTTTTCTATGTATCATGCGGTTTTGAAAATTGTATTCAAAATAGATGATATAATCTTTGATTTTCAAAATTTGAAATTAATATTCAATTACGTGCTAATTTAATGCTGATTAATGATCTGTTACCGTAAATTATGCTATTTTAGTTAACAAGTTTAAATGTATTGTTTTTTCCCCATTTTTTTCTTAACAGTTTAAATTTACCATGAATCATTTACCATGTATCACTAGAGTCTAAAGTATCACGGAACAAAAATTTTAAGGGATTTTTAGTAAATACTAAATTTGTCGGGACAGAGTGTAATTATTGAATTACACTATGGGATTCCTTAAATTTTTACTATATTTAAACAAAAAAAGAAAATTTACTTACCAGACCGGTGCGCTAGGATCGTCTCTTACGGAACAACCTTATTAGAATCATTAATATGAGATAGGTCCTTTGGACTGATCTGGCTTAATTCGAAATTTAATAGATTTGGGCTAATATTTTTGGAGTTCATTTAAGAAATTTTTTTTTAAGTACGATGTGAATAAGTCTGCTGATTTGTGGGGCTTGAGAAATATTGATAGTTATGATGTCAAAATCTTGCGCCCTTGTTTTTCCAATTTCTCGGCTCATTAAAGTCGTTTCAGGTTCAAGGGCTAAAGCTTCTATTAGGAGAATCCCTTTGTTAATTAACAATATAATATAATATTAAAATTTAGAACTAAAGAGAGTCCAAACTAAAAACAATTATGTTAATATTTTTATTTAGATATTAATACTTTTACTTGAAAAAACTTAATAAATATTATAATTATAATTTAATTTGTGGATTTGATTGACAAGTAATAACATTAAAATCATGTAATATTGTTTTGTCGATATTTATGATATTATTTTTAAATTATAATTTATATATATATATATATATATATATATGCATTTTTAAAAAAGTGAATTATTCCGGCAAGCATGCAGCCCATGTATTTGTGAGTCGGACCAAATATTTTTTGGCTCACAAAAAAAAAATTAGTCAAGTCTGACTCGTAAAATAACAAAACATGTACGAATTAACCCGAATGAAATGAGTTAACCCATATTAACATAGAGGGTGCTAAGAATATCTTGGAACTTTGATATAGTATGCTACATTTGAATTTAATGTGAAATTATTCATCAATAATTAAAAATAAATTTTTTGTGGGCAAACAACAAGTTGGTGGTACCGTACCATACATTATGAAGGCAGTAGACCCTATTGGAAAAGAACTTTTAATATATAGACTTTATTCTAAAATCTATAATACATATGACCACTACAATTACTCTTATACATTTATTCTTCATCTACCTAGGGTTTGGAGGGAGCCCACAAATAGTAACTATTGCAAGTGGGAACAAGGAGAATAATATATTTGCAAAATTTTATTCTTATTTGTTATTTCAGAAAAGAATATAATAAAAGAATAACAAAATATAGAGATAGAGATCAAAATTCACGCAATTACTAAATATTACTAGTAATAAAAAGAAAAAGGATTTTTATCGCAGGGCGTAAATTTGATATAAGAATTGAACTAAATTTACATTTACAATAAATAATAAGTCTGAATTCACAAAAATACAATAAATTTAATATTGAGATTAAAAATTATATCCACTTAATTCATTTAGACTCTTTAAATTTAAATGTAGTATGACCAAAAAAAAAGAAGGTAAATCTTTTTTTTTTAGTTATACAAAATATTATCACTCCTTATTACTTGGTATTTCTTTCGTTTCAAATTATATAAATTATTAAGGTTGATTCATGCCCTTTAAAAAATCGAATTAACATATAAAATAAATATAATTTTTCAAATACAAGTATTATTATTATTATTATTATTTTTATTATTATTATTATTATTATTATTATTATTATTATTATTATTATCATCATCATCATCATCATCATTTTGGTACACTTTTCTATCATGAATTTTCATGTATTAATGCAAATGATTTCATGTTTCGAATACATGCATTAGATTGATCAATGACATAACAAATAATTACCCATCAAATCCCTCTCAAAACATTTTACATTTCTCAAACCTAAAAAGTGTTGGATTTTTTTATAAGCAAATATTTTCTGTTATAATAGAAATTATATACAAAACTTATTATTTTTAATACATCATGATAACAGACAATATGTAAGAAGAAATGAGAAGTCACAAAAACCTACTTCATCTGATCATTAATTTCTTAAAAGATCATTAAAATATAAAAATCTAATATAACAAAATAAATTATTTTTTTATATCTAACTCTCCATTATCACAGAAAGTGAAAGTACGTGTGAATGAAATAAATGTTGGGACTCTTTTTTGTGATAAAGAATTTAGTGGTACATGCTGGGAAGTAGACCCTATTGAATAGGAAATTCAACGTGTAGACATTAAATTTTGAAATTTATATATGTGAGTGTGACCATAATAGGCTCATTTACCTAGGTGCTGGAGGGAGGAGAGCCACTCACACAAATTTATAATAATATATTCGATAAAATTTTACAGATTCGAAAAATGATAAGATAAATACATATTTTATTTTTATCCCCATGGAGTAGAAAGATTATTCTTTTTATAGACCTTTGTGTTAGGAAGAATGTAAGTTTCAGACGATTATTTTTGAAAATCTTCATAAAATAACTATTTCCAATAGTTGTCTAGGGTCATTTTTGTTTAGTCTGCAAAGTTGATTTTAAAATTTGATTTAAAAAAATTGTGAATTTTGTAAGGTCTAAGGTGGTATTTCGTAACAATATGAATTTGGAGTCTCAAAATAGCATTTCATCAATTTCATCCGCTCTAGAATGTGGAATTTGGTCTAAGAATGATGTCATTTTTTGGTTGTATTGATGACTCGTATGTGTTAAGGTGTTAGCATTTTGTGATATATTAACTGTGAACTGCTAGGTTGGGATTGGTTCTGTGCACGTTGTGCTTGAAGAGGTTCGATTGAGGTGTTTGGACTCTTATCAATATTACTTACTTCGAGTTAACAGGTTATTTGTTGAGTACTATGTTGTTTACTCACTCCCTTGTTTCTATACTCTTGTAGGTTCAAGTTTGGATCTGCGAGATTACTTTTTCTCCCCTTCTACATCTGAGGCTTATTACAGAGAGTGTTGAGGCAGCTGCTTGTCATCCTAGCTGACACCTCTTTACTCCTTTATCATGATTTTATTCTATTTTAGAAAAAATGACATTGAGATTTGTATTTTTCTTTAAACAATTAAAATTTTAGACTTTTATTCTTGTTTTACTTCTACATTTGTTGTTATGTTTTGGGTTTTAGAATGATTTGTCTTGGTAGGATAAAACAAGAGTCATCACATTCACTTTTGGATCTTGATGGCTACACGGAGAAAGGTAGCGAGAAGATAATATTTTCTTCATTTCAAAAAGAATTATCTACTTTTATTTTTAGCTTGTTTAAAAAATGATTTTTATGAAAACATTTTATTTTTAAACTTTCTACTTGATATATTTACGATCACTATTAAAATTTAAAAAATATTTTAATAGATTCAGCATAATTTTAATTTAAAATTAAATAATTTCTTTATTTTTTCAAAACTGTGTATCAAATGAAAGTAGATCATTATTTTAAAAAAAGGACATAGGCTGGCCCCTCCCCTTTCTTATTCGAAATGTTATAAATATATATGATTAAAAGTTCATAAAAATGTGAATATAATAAAATAAATTATTTGAACTCAATATTTTAGAAAGTACAAAATTTTGATGTGAAAATTTGTAATAAATAGTAAGTCTGAGTTTATAATTTTAAAAATATAATAAATTCATGAGATTAAAAATTAAATTCACGTCATTTTAATTTTGAATTTAGTTTTTAATATCAAAAGTAGTATAACAAAAAATAAGTAAATATTATTACTCCGTAAATACAAATTATGAGTCAATTTATATATTATTTTTCAGAACATGATAAATAGAAATTAATGTAATGTAACAGTACAGTATCTTCGCAACTATAGGTTATAACTAAAAGATAAGCTATACGTCAAACTAAAAGATAAGTTATAAATCAATTTATATACTTTATTTTTGCAAAATAAAAAAAGAAGGACTCAATTTAATTGTGCATATTGATAGCATAGTTTGGACCACAACTTGATAATTAATCAACTTGTTGATTTTTCTTGCCTATTTTTAGGTGGTTCAACAACAACCACAAAGGCACAAACAGCACCTTTTTGCCTATTTAGGTGGTTCACGATGCCAATTTATGTTCAGTAAAAATTTTAAAAAAAAGTATCACTACAAGAAAAAAAATAAAGAAATTATAAAATTTCTGAATAAACAGAAAAACTCTTATTTTTTTAATTTTAAGTGAGACCTGTAATTTATTTAAAATACAAAAAGATACTAGTAGTTTTTATTTTCAAAGGGATAATAATTGACATTGTATTTGTACATGAAATTGGAGTGAAAAAAAGAAGAAGATAAAAATAACTTTTTCAATATTTATAAATTTCTCTAAAATTTTCTGGCCAAACGTAAAAGTTAAAAAAAACACAAAAAAATAACTTCTTGAAGTACATAGATATTTTTTTTTCCAGATAGTACTTAAAACAAAAAATAAAATAAAATAATCATGACCTACCACCTTGAGGTACACATTTATTTTCCCAAACAGTATCTATAGCTAGATATAAACTATTATAAATAGAGAGGTTAGCTTCGAATTGTTATATCTTCAAACTAATAATCTTAAAGTTATATATATTACCAAATATATATCTTAAGAGTAAATTATGGCAATTGTACAAGCCCTCTTCCCTTCACAATATCTTTGTATGAACAAAACCAAAAACAATACCCAAATTGGAAGCAAAAGAAGTATTCAAGTTTCATGCAGAAGCTCTAATCAAGAAGATCTTCTTAGCCGGCGCCAAACCAGCTATAATCACGTAAGATTTTAATTTTTATACACTGACAATATATAATAAAATTGTTTTACGCTATATATATCTATGTAGTCATTCATGAAATATCCTCATAATGTGATTTATTTATTATTTATTTTAGCTTAAGATATGAGGGTAAGTTGAGACATAATTAATTTTTATCAAACCTTTTCCTCCAAAATTCATGATTTTCGTGCGTGGCAGAGTCAGAATTTTCACCACCTTACTATTGCACCATGCAAGAAATTATATGTGCTAAGTTTTATTGATTTTATTATTATTCATGAGCAGAGTGATGAGTTTGGATTACAAGTGGAAGTGGAGGAGAAAAAAGTGGCATCATTCAATGGCAATGAAGGAGTAGTATTTGAAGTGTCAAACATAAATGCATTTGGTCAATCATTTAGGGATTATAATGCAAAAAGTGAAAGGCAAAAAAGTGTTGAGGAATTTTATAGGGTTCAACATATTAACCAAACATATGATTATGTTACAAAAATGAGAAAAGAATATGGAAAATTGAACAAAATTGAAATGAGTATATGGGATTGTTGTGAACTTCTGAATGATGTTGTTGATGATAGTGATCCTGATTTAGATGAACCACAAATAGAACATTTGTTACAAACAGCTGAAGCAATTAGAAAAGATTATCCAAATGAAGATTGGTTACATTTGACTGGCCTTATTCATGACCTAGGTAAAGTTCTTCTTCATCCAAGTTTTGGTGAACTTCCTCAATGGGCTGTTGTTGGTGATACATTCCCTCTTGGTTGTGCTTTCGACGAATCGATCGTTCACCATAAATATTTTAAAGAAAATCAAGATATAAACAACATGATTTATAACACAAAAAATGGTGTATATGAAGAAGGTTGTGGACTTAACAAAGTTGTTATGTCATGGGGACATGATGATTATATGTATTTAGTTGCTAAGGAAAATGGGACTACACTTCCTTATGCTGCATTATTTGTTATACGTTATCATTCATTTTATGCGTTACATAAATCGGGAGCATATAAACATTTGATGAATGAAGAAGACAAAGAGAATATAAAGTGGCTCAATATATTTAACAAGTATGATTTATATAGTAAGAGCAGTGTTAGAATTGATGTGGAAAATGTTAAGCCATATTATCTATCTCTTATTCAAAAGTATTTCCCAAAAATACTAAGGTGGTGATTCATTCAAAAAATAAATAATATTATCATTTTTGAAATGTAATTTTTCATGTATTTTATTTTATTCAAGAAAATGTATTTCTTTCTTTTCATTAATGAATAAATTCATTCAGGAAATGGGAAAATGATTTGGTGATTTCATTCAAACTTTTTTTCTTGTGTATTGGTTTAATCATATTAAAATAATATATTTCTTTAAGTATAATTTTATGTATTCGCGTTCACACTACATAAAATTTTTTTTAGAAATAATTAATTTTTAATTACCGCTAACTATGTATTTTTAGATAAAATTAGCACTCTTTGTATATGTTCCTAAAGTTTTTAGCGACATTGGTTCTAATGACACTTAACTAATGTCTATAAAAATTTTAGCGTTTTTTATTAATATCAATATTTAATACCACTAAAAGTAATGTCAATATTATTATAGCCATTATTAGCTTTAATTAATATGACGATATTCTATTATCTCAATCTCAATATATAAACAATAACAACATGTATCTAATACTCTATAATCTTACAAAAAAAAATCCAACATACAAAGATTTTAGTATATGTTTAAAATTTGGTGTTAAATAAATCTTATTAATCATTAATAATATCATGTATGTAATAGAAATAATTCTATTAAAAATAACAAAAAACTAATCGATAATATGTGTATAATAAGATGTATTCATATGATCATAAATGGCAAAGTATTTTGTGTACTTTAGAGTATGAACGTTATTTGAATTATCTATTGTCGTACATTTTATCGATTAGTTTCTTTTCTTAATTAAAGGATATCTTTTTATGGTGTGTCTAATTCTTCAGTGATTTAAGGAAAAGTCAAGGTAATTAGTAATTTGAAATTAATTAAAAGACTCTTTAATCAACTTAAATTTGGTTTAATATTAAAGAATAAAAGGGCATGTTTTTCTTAATTATCAAAATATCACTGCCCATAAATTCGATTGAAATTGTTTAAAACAACCTCAAAAATAAAAACAAAAAGTAGGTGATAAGTCAATAAATGAATTAAATACGAGGGTGATAATTATTTGTTTTCTCAAGACATTTAGTCGTAGTAATGATTTGAAATCAATGGTTCATCTACCTTGGTTTTGGAGGGAGTAGAGACACTCATAGTAAAATATACGTAAATGATTATAATAATTTTATTATGAGATCTAGACACTAGAAAGGTTTAAATGTACGTAAATTTTATTTCTATATTTATTAAGTATCGAGATTATTTCGAGTATGACTTTCGATTTTTTAAAAAACTAAGGAAAAGGTTAGTAATAAAAAAACAGGACAATAAATTGTTAAGATACAAAACAAAACAAAATAAAATAAAATAAAATGAAGTAATATCATAAAGCAATGAATAAATAAAGCAATAATTGTATAGAATAACAAACTAATAATATAAAATAAATATAGTAGCTACCATTTGATTTATTTGGGTTCCATAGCAAATTGTTTGCAAGTCCCTCTCTCCCTCATATGCTCGCTCATGACTCTCGCTTCCTTTTGCTCGCTTTATATAATATAATTGTATAAATTATGTTTCTAATTTTACAAAGTGAGAGAAAATTGTATATACACATGCAAATGCATATATTTTCGTATTATACACTTATAATTATATAATAAAAGTACTTCCTTGTCCAAGTCTCTTTTGCCTTTCTCCCTTTCTCGTTTTATACAAATTCAAATTATATATAATCATCCTATACACTTGCAATTATACAATTTATTTTATATACGACGATATTTTTGATGTTTATGGAACTGTTCGTAGAATTAACCCTCTTCACTCAAGCTGTCCAATAGGTATTTTATTTGAGCTTTTAATTTTCTTGTATTAGATGAAAATGATACTCTATTTCTACACAAATAGACATAGAATGTAAGTTTTCCTTAATTATTTCAGGTGGGAATTATGTGTCATGTTGGACTTACCAGAACACATGAGATCATCTTATAATGCTCTTTATAATACCATTAATGACATTGGCTATAATGTCCACAAAATCTATGGACAAAACCCTACTCAAAATTTGCGAAATGCGGTATTATTACATGTTTAGACTTTTTTTTATCGAAATTAGTTAAATATTGATTTTTATGTATCTATTATATTATAAATAAATTTCTATTTTATTCGTTCAGTATAAAAAAATCAAGAGATAATTTATCATTTAGTTTCAAATATTACCTTATTATTAAC